GCCTCTCTCTCTCTATCTCTCATGAATAAATAAATAAAATCTTTAAAAAAAAAAAATCCCCACAAATATTTATCAACAGCACAACGGGTAACAAATTGTGGTAATATGTGAGAAAGTGGAGGTCTATACAGCAATAAGAATGAACAAACTATGGGTACATGCAGCATGATGGATGAAACTCCCGAACATAATACAAGCAACAGAACCTGGACACAAAAGAGTAGATCCCATAGCATTTGATGGATAGAAAGTTCAAGAATAGGTAAAATTAAGTGGGTTTAGAAGTCAGAATATTTTGAACCTTGGGAGGGTAATGACTGAGATAGGACTTGAGGGGGGCTTCCGGGGTGCTGATATTTTATTTCTTCATCTGTAGGCTAATGACCGAGGTGTACTTACTTTGTAACACCCATGATTTGTGTACATCTCCTTAAATAATTTACACTTAAATAAAAAGCTTAAAAAATATACCAAATTGTTGTATTTTTTAAGTGAACATTTTACTTCAGAGAAATTAATAATAGAAAAATATATTGCTGTGTTTTATTTCACCTTACCTGGTTAATGTAATCTGGAATATTTGATATCCAGCTATAAAAGAGGCCAATCTCGAAAGACTTTGTTTTCCTGAACCACCGACACCCACCAGCAGTGCATTTCCACATGATGTTCGAATTATTCGTGAAATCTGTTTGGAAATAAAATGGTATGTATTTAAAAATAGAATTCAACTCTTCACATTTTCTTGCACTACATGAGTCCAATTTTGAACATATGCTTGTAGACTACGTTAGACTTTTTCTTTTAATGGGATATGTCAGAGTTTTTTTAAGTTAATGTCTCCTATTGATATAGTCAACTCAAATTCTTTTCCTTGTCCATCATCAAAGAGAGAACAAATGGGCTTTCCTATCTCTTATTTCAAAGCCATTCTGTGTGTGTGTGTGTGTGTGTGTAATTTTATTATTTTCGGACTCAATGCATGATGGAGCTGCTCTTCCCAATCTGCAGAAAGTTTAGGATTGTCTGCTTATTATTCAGTCTAACACACTGAACTAGATAGACACCTAGCTCTACAATGAATACTACCTGTATTGTATCTCTGCCAATGAAAAAAAAATTTTAAGTACCAAAATTCTACTTACAAGAGGCAAGAAGGCATTTGTAGAAAAAGACTTAGACTTTAGCCTTGTGTTGCTTTTCTATGGCTGATTTCCTCAATAAGGATAAGGCTGGAATTGTGGTTCACCTCATATGCAGGCCAATTGAAGACATTGCTAAAAAACTGCCTTTTACATTAATATCACTGATTAAGATGAAAGTCTGGATGGATCACTAAATTCATTATCACCACGAAAAAGTTTTTTTTTTTAAATGGAAGTTTTACAGGTGGCAGATAGTAAAAACACTTTACATTAATTCTATCACTATATTTTTTAATATGTTAATCACTTGGGTCCCAGGCCCCCAAGACCTTGCCACAATGAGTACTCAATAACTACTTGTTGAGTAGATGAATGTGAAACAGCCCTAGGACATCTGGAAAGTCACCAACTTTGGGGAAGACCAACGTATAATAAACACAGAGCA